TGTCAAGGCTTGACGGATTATTGAATTCTAATCTGGCCGCCGACGGGCGTGCCGTTAGGTAACCATCCTCACCCCAGTTTACGCCTGGGGAAACTCATACCTTTTCTTGTTCTTCCTCTCCCTGCGCTCCCGCAGCTCTGCAGCTCTTTCCTGCTGGTCTTGCTGCCTACACCAAGCCACACACTGCAAACATGCCTACACCCTTTTCCTTTCCCTTCCGTATGCCGGGGTCTACACCCTACCGGATAGCAGGTGCCTGGGCCTTTCACTGTGCAGCTGGCAACCCCACCAACCATCCTTCCTCCAGGTTACGCCTAAGGAACTTCATTCCTTTTCTTGTTCTTCCTCTCCCTGCGCCGCTATGCAGCTCTCCTACCGGCCCCGCCTACACCAAGCGACACACTGCAAACATGCCTACAACTTACAACCTTTACCTTTCCCTTTCCCTTCCCTATGCCGGGGTCTACATTCTACTGGATAACAGCATGCAGGGGTGCCTGGGCCTTTCCCTGTGCAGCTGGCAACCGCGCCAACCATTCTCACCCGGATAACGCCTGGGGGAAATCTCACCCCCTGCCTCTTGAGCTGTCGGGAGCCTAGTTCAAAAGAACCTTAGTTCGCCTCCCCTCGGGGAGGCGTGTGTTTGTGTGTGTAACCCTTGGAGACACAGGGATCCTGATGGTTTTGTTTTCTTTTTCAGCAGGGGTCCCAGAGGAGCGGTGGCCAACGAAGACCTCCTTTGAGACCCGTGTAAACGTACCTGCCAAACTGGTTACCTGATGTTACCTGCTGTTCTTTGGTTTGCTTTCATGGTGGTTCATGTATGTGGTTCTGTTACTAACCGCAACTCGCGTTTCATGTTTTACATGTCACCTGATTTATTAGGCGTTCATACCTAGGTGGCGTGTGGCGAGCGGCATTCGAGTCAGTACGCATAATCTTGAGTGTGTGCGCGTGTTTCTTATCCATGACGAAAGCATCTGGAAGTTTGCATGCTCAAAGCGTGCTCAAAATGACCCTAACAATTTTTCAAGTTTTGTGCATGCTATGGAAAATTCAAGAGAACCATACCCTTTACTTTTGACTTTACCCCAGCCCACAGGAATGTTGATGCACCCTCTACAGCCAAACCAGGCCAATGCTCTGTACACCCAATCCCACCAGCCCACAAACAGGCAGTTGTCCAGCCTGTCGTGTGAAATCTATTGAGGGGGGTTGACCTCACCCCTACTCCTGGTATTTGCATAGCCCAAGAACCAGATCCAAAAACCCAGCGCGGGATTCCAATACAGATTAAAGAGCAGCCAAACCACAACCTCGTCCACAGGAATGTTGAATGTACCTGCTACAACCATGCCATGTCGTGTGTTTAAAAAATGATCATGTTCTTGCCCATGATTGCTTTTGTCAAGCAGATTTGTAGGGCCTTTGTAGGGCCGGGGGCCCCTTGACCTTGATTGTTCACACATTGTTTGACCACTCGTGACCATCTACGTCGCAGGGTCTCGGTCAACTAATTATCCTCAGGGGGTTGAGGGGTGGCACTTCTAAGAGAACCCCATATACATGGTTTTTGTTGACATGTTTAACCAAGGTGTTGGACGGAAATGCTTGAACATTGCTGTTCGAGCATTGCCGTAGCCATGATTCCCATAGACGCTGCACATCGAGCACCAGAGAAAGATTAAATCCAGCATGAAGGTGGTACTCAGAATCCTAATCAATTTATCTCTTTGAGCCTTTCCCTGCCACAACAGCCACGCACAGTGGCCATGTGTGTCATAATTACTCTATAGTGCCGGGCTCACTCTGTCTCACATGAAATGAAGAGGTGCGCAATCAAAGTTGACACAATGCCAAACAAGGCAATACCGAACCGTTGCTGGAAAGGGAGGCACGGGAGCCCAGCACAAAGCTGTTTCGTGAGTGTTGGTAGAGCAGCGTAGTGGCGTCAAAGATGGAGATGATATACAATACATAATTACAAACATAGCACATGAATATTAGATACAGGATTGCTAGTTTGCGCTTGACATATCAAGGACTAGCATGCAGCCATATGGTTCTGTGCTGCGAACAAGGTGGGGCTGTGATCCGTGCAGTCGGCAGAATCGGAGTTGTGTTTTTGTTAGCAGGCAGATCGATCTCAGCCAAGAGTTCTTCTTACATTGCCAATCCCAGTTGTATTTCAGATACCATGGAACTTCATGACCTATCGACTGTCAACCTCTAATAAGACGTTACATTGCATGATGTTACATGACAGGACATGAGGATAAGAATAGCGATGACGATAGTGCTGTGACTGATGCTGATGCCAAACATGCACAAAACGACACATGTGAATATATACAGTCTTTATACAGTAGATCGGTTTACGCGGAAGCAACAACAGCACCAGCTGGCTTTGCTGGTCGTCCTTTTCCACCATGTCTTGTTGGGAGACCCGCCATTCCCACACCAGTACCCTAGAGAACCCCTGTTGCACAACGTCGTCTCAGCTTCGACTTGGATGAGCTGCAGATCCGGCCGCCGGCAGCTTAGGATGTTCCGGGCTGGGCCCTTCCTTTGGTTGCGTGTGGATGAAGAATGAGGCTGAAAGAAGTACACACCATATTGGGTAAAGCATGGTGACCATCTCCAAAACACAGCTCATGATCATCGACCTTCCCGCTTTGCTCACTAGGACGTCCAGGATGCTGAAAGTCTGAAAATCATGTAAAACAACAGCTGAACGGATGTTCAAAGATGACCGAAGCACAACATATTTTCAGAGCTTCTGCTCTCATTGGAAGCACAACAGGGTGCGGCAAAAGCCGATTGGATGGCGGCAAAGCCGACGGCAAAGCCCACAGATTCCCGTCTCTCGCAAGCTGTGGAGCATCTCAAGGCGCATACGGCAAAGTAGCATCACCTTCAAGGCAACGGTCTCTGTGTCCGAGGCGCCCATTGGCCTGCGCGCGAAAACTCGCTTCGTTGGCCAGCGAGAACATGGAATCAATTGGAATCATAATATATATAGGAGGAAAGAAAAATCATGTTGAAGTCCCATTAGCGCCTACAGGCAGCCATCCAAGTGAACGTTTGCCTGAACACTTCCAGCTGGTTCTCATTATATCAGGTGTCCGGAACTAAATGTTGGCCACAACGTTGGCTTTAGGGCACCGCACTTGCCCGAGTATTGCTCTGTCCTCTTGCTGGAGGAGTAACTGAGTATGTTTTTGAAGGTTCTGTATAAGTGTATCATATTGCATCCATTGTATTACAATGTTTGGTTCAACATCGAACCAAGATCCTTGAAACATGTGAGGTTTTGCGAAACCACCCCACGAACCCAGACCGCTTCTTCAGCCGACCGAAACTAGCCGATCGGATAATCGGATTGGTTGGCCAACTGCCAGGTACCCCACCTTGGAGAAACAGTCTTTGGATGGCATTTAAAGGGCTGGCCTGATGCGGAGAAAGGTACATGGAGCTAATGGAGCTGAAGCAGTTTTATGAGTATAGTCACGTATAGTGAGTTCGCTCAAGGTAAATGACCCTAGTTGTAGTAGACGCTTTGGAAATGAGAATGCCGTAGCGCCAGAAGGTGGTCAACAATCGTCATAGTAAGTAAATTGCACTGACTGTTGGCCTTGGGTTTGCAGTCGCGTAGACCACGGATGCAACTCTACAAAGCCCAAAGTCAGGTGATGTTACATTTGGCCAAGCACAAGGTAAGGTCGACTCTTGATTTGGCTGTGAGACAAATTGTGCCGCCTTCATCACGCAGGCCAGACTTTGGCTAAACCAGTCGGTGTTGTTTCTTTCTAGGTGGAACGGGTTGCACAAGAACCCAGTCCCATGGAAGGGAAGCTATCATAATTTTGCATATTCCTCCCGAAGCAGTATGACAAATGTCTTTGTTGTGTTTCATTTTCCACTTGAGAGATGTTGAGAGCGATCACTGCTGAAACCTGACGTCAATTGCTGAGGATATCAGAAATGAGCTTTGGTGGACACCAGAGGATATCTATGACCTGGGTGAGTTTACGGCGATGCATCCACAGATACTGTTTGTAGACTGCTAGTGACTGCTAGTGTGTAATTGTGACTGTTTTTTTTGAAAGCAAATCCACTCGGCTGGGGGCGGGAAAAAGACAATGTATGATGTCACTCAAGGGAAGGGGCCACGTGACAGGCAGTGAGTGTTGAAAAATGTGGAGCTCCTAGGGCCCTAGGGAATGGGTTGGAGTCAGAGGGCCACGCAAGCTTTGCTGTTAGTGCTGCCCCTGATTGAGTGCTGGTGCGGAGTTGGCATTGGCTCAATTCACATCGAAGAGCCAAACACACGCCATAGTTAATCGAATGTTTGATTGTATAAAGCTTATGTAGTCCAACTTATGGTGGACACGAGCAGAGGGCTATCTCGGCAATGACCGAACCAAAGAAGCAAAATCCTCACTGAGTACGAACTTGGCTGCTCCCATGATCCAGGCGGTTGAGCTTTGATGTTTCGCGGAAAAAACTGTCGCGCTCTCAATGCCATGGCGAGGCCAATCCATGGCATTTTTTTGGTGGCAAGCATGGGATTGTGTGGCCGTGTTTTTGCTGCTGAGCCATGTGCAGAAGTACTTCTTTGTTCTTTAGTGCAATAAGCCTGGAAATCGAACGAGATTGAGATCTCTATCAGATGCCCCATCTCATATTATAATATATTATAGACACAATTGACACAATACGTTGCTTGCCTTGTGCTGTCGCATAATGTTGCTCATGCAACCCAGGTTCATGTCCACACTTTCAAAAGCTCCGTTGAACGAGTCTCGTTGACACGGCGGTGGGCAAGCGATGCAAAGCAACCGCATGCCGCCAATGTAAGAGGAAACTTCTATGTGGACCACACTTGCATTGACTGCGACACATGCCGTTGGATGGCCCCAGAGACGTTTGGGCGCACCAGTCACGTTGCTGGGGGTCAAAGCTACGTCTATGAACAACCGAATGAAGATCAGTTGGATATGGCCATACGGGCGATGGTCTCATGCCCCACTGGCAGCATTCGGACCCAATCCCCTGAGAGGAGGACCAAAGAGATCATTGAGACCTTCCCCTTGCGCGTGAGCAATGAATTGCCCCGTGTCTTTCACCTGGGATTCCACAGTGCAAAGAGTTTCGGGGCATCAAGCTACTTCATTCCGTTGTCAATGCCGTCCGGTGAACGACTGAATATCATGTTCGATTCCCCACGATATTCCTCCAAGCTAGCCAAGCTCCTGGATGCTGCTGGGGGCGTCGACCTCATGGTGATGAGCCATAAGGACGCTTTTCATGCGGGGGTCTCGTCCAATGACAAATCCTGTGAATTCCTGGAGTTAATTTGCATTATTGTGGCTTATGCAACTGCAGGATGACGTGGCAGATCACAACAAGTGGAAGGAGCGCTTTCCTTCTATGAGGCGTGTCATGCACGCGGCGGATGTGCGGGGTCCAGATGCATGGCCTTACATCGAAACTTTGGCTTGAAGTTGGTTTGGCTTCCAGGTGCGGAATCTTTTTGGTTGAAGGTATTTAATATTTAAACGGTATATATAGTGGGTTTGTCCTATTACCTATTATTACCTGCAACAGTCAGTAAACAATTATCACTATTTTTTGAACAAGGCCTCTACTAACCATCATCGTCCACTGTTACAGGTAATGAGATAGACCCAAGGTAGTACCCAAGGTATATATATATATACACTTCAGTTTTACTTGAAGATTGGATGCTCAAAGTGATATGACATCTCCAATGAACCCATGGGACACTCACAGGCTCCACGTGATAGATGGACTGCTACACACAGAGGCCACAGAGGCACTATGAGGCACTAGTTCACAGTTTTGGGCAAGCGCTAGGCTGGGGATGATGAGGTGGGTGTGTAGATATACAGATGACAATAGGTGATGCAATATGTGATATATTCAGCATATGAATAAACATACCGGTGTTTTTGGGTATAATAGTCAAAAGCCTCGGTGATCAGTGTAGAATCACTGGAATTCAGAGGACATGACCGGCGTCGAGGAGCAGCTGGATGGGAAGGGTCCATGGATCTTGGCAGAGCCTTGGCTAAGCTGCCGAAACGTGATTTAGTGGTTCTACATCAAAGATCTCCTTCAGATAATGTGGAACAACCCCCCAAACTGGGCTTGTTCAGCTTCCATTACCTTTTGATGGAGCGTAGTCACAGGTGCTTTAAAACGTGCGCTTGTTTGGTTTATAACTTGACAAACACCTTTAGTGTGGTGACGTGGCTGGGGATTGCTGGTGATTCTTCTTCCGGTCAGCAGGTACCATAGAAGAGGGGTTGTTGATTTCAGGCTGTAAAGGGCCGAGTGTATTGAAGCATGTCCATCATGAAGGCGGACTCTACTATATATGCGTGCAAGTGTGAGCGAATTGATTGGCCTGTTTGTTTGTGACGCTTTCCGTTCTGCCAGGATGGTGTGAAGGTCCTCCACACTCCAGGGCATAGTGCTGGTTCGATCACCCTCATTTTGGATGGCCGTGTGACTGGCGGGGACGGTGCGGCCTTCACTGGTGATCACTTGGCCACTTGGAAGAAGACTGAACATCGCACGAGCCCTCAAAGGGCTATTCGGATGAAAGTGTTTTGGCTACTGTTTTGGCTCAGGTCTTCGTTCTGTACCATACTATAGATAGCTTTGTTTCTGTGTAAGACGAGGTATGTGTTGCGCATTTAAGCCCTTGCGAACCTGAATCATTCTGTATCCCACACGCTTTAACATCCCTTGGTGACTACGAATTGCGCAGTGTTTTCCCAATCCAGTTCCGGCGGTACTGCCAGGCCATGAACGGGCGCTTGGGGCGCCTAGATGGTTTTGCTCGTTACTCCGATGATTTAGACCTGCAAGCCGAATCCATGCGCAGGTTGGCAGAGGAGGCAAGGGTTGTTTGACAGATTCAGAAGTGCCAGGATAACATTACTTACTTCTTATTGGTGTACAGTGTATGCCACCGGTTCGTGTTGGCAATTTCTTCCCCAAAGGGTTTCCCGTTAGGGTTTTCTCTCTCATGAAGAAAGTCTTTGGCGGCGACCCTGAACCCTGTGTCCGGGTGTTGTCTTCCTGTTGTCCTTTGGCCGCGGTTTTCTCATGGCATATATTGAAAGCCATCAAGGGGCTCATGCTTTCTCACGCTAGCCCTCCGAGCTAATTAGCTGTTACATGCTGGCCAGGCTGACCGTCTCATTGGGGGTGGTATGTCTCGGGGTGACCAGGCCTCAGGAAAACACAAGAAAAACTTGTTTGACCTTTTGACCTCCTGTTCTTCAAAGGTTTTCTGCAAGTCTTGGAAAAAGCGTGAGTCTCAAAGAACTGAGTCACTGCCAGTTTTGGACCAAATACTCTTTCCCTACAAGCATGTGCTTCAGCCTGTTCCTCAAGGTCACCCCTAAGCATTGCTCGACACGCTCCACACCACCCGGCTCCGTCTCTCCAGGACTTCCTTTGGATCCTCCCGGGCCACGGCCGCCGGGTTCGCTTTGCTTCGGCCCAGCAGCGGCAGGCGGAGCTGCGCCAAGCCGCGGCGCAGTATTTGTCCGACCCACGAGGGGCCCAAGCACCGGGGCCCATGTTTCATGTCGCGTAGCCCGTGATCAAGTCAGATCACTCCGCCCACCGGAGCTGCCATGCGTGCACACTGGGTCAAAAAGGGGTGTTGCGGTGTTGCATGTCATCATATGTCATCTCTCAGTCGGTCAACAGGTTTTACTCTTTTCTGAGTATGGTCGACATGCAACGTCCACTGGGTCACGGGCGTGAAGTATTGTGAACTCACCCATCGCTATGGGAGTGACGGTGTACTGTTTACTAGCGGCCAATATGGCTGGCGCATTCTCATGGTGTTGCACCTACTGGCGGCATGGGTTGCGTGTTTTTGAGTCAAACCGCTTTCCTCGGTGCATGTCCACGACAGATTGAAGCGGAAGGGTACTGTATACTTCCTGAATTAACTACTTTCGGGTACTTCCTGAGTTGTTCAGCTGAGCAAGTTTCGTGGCTTCTTTCGGGCCATTTTTCCTGCAGTGCCGATCCGTATTGGATGCAGGTTGCAGGCCCATTGGAGCGTTGGTGCTCATTTATGTCGCCTGCAATCTGCTCACCCTTGAAATCCTATAGCATGTGCCATGACTCAAGTGTACAGACTGCTTGCAGGTGCAGTAGGGAAAAGATTGGACAGTGGAACGGCGAAGCGCAGCCACGAAACTTCTGCAATTCATTAATTCCGTGGCAGCTCAAGCTCCTCATGCCTGGAATACTGAATGAGATGTAGGCGCCGTACACGGATTGGGCTAATCAAATCTACTGTGAAACCATCTTAAGTGAGTAGTCAGCAGCTAGCTTTCTGTGATTCTTTCGAGATGGCCTTTTTGCTGCGCAGATCTGCGCAGGACTTTCAAGATTTTTTGAGAGTGCGATTGGCCCTTGCCAACGAATACAAGGCGCCGGGCAGGCAAACAGCTGTTGGGATGGCAAGGTAATCAGCAACCGACAAGAAAGACAGACGCTTCGAGCACCGACAAGAAACCTAGAGAGAGAGACAGAGAGATAGAAAGCCATTGGCACCGACCGATCCCTTCCGCAGCAAGAGATGATCGATACCAGCCCTAACGAACCACTGCGGGGCACCGTTTCAGCAAGCGCGAAGCGCAGCGACTCGCTTCAGGAAGCTGTAAAGCACCAACGTCTCCGTGCGAGCGGTTCATGGGACATTCAGGCGACGGCTTCGTTTCATGGCGGTTGGGCCAGGGCGGGCGGTATTTTGGGTGGTGCCACTCATAACACCATCGGTTGCCCACAAGAAACACACACAGACACACACGACCCCTGCGATACCTGATCCTATCGATTCCAGACCTGAGTTGCACAGCAGTCGCATGGTGCTCAATTCGTGGCCCTTGTCTATTCCTCCTGAGGACCCCACCCTGAAGCAAGAGTCCCGGCGGGGTTTAGGGCTGGGCCGCATGAAGCTGCGCCCAGCCCTCAGAGCTGAACTGACCGGCGGAGTGTCGCGCGGTGCTTCGAGCGGTGCTTCGACCGGTGGTTTCGAACCGGTTCAAATCCCAACTCGGTGTTTTGGGCAGTTCGGGATGCTTCAGCTGGAAAGATTCCCTTGCTATCTTTGGATGGAGCGGTGGAGCTAACTTCACAGAGTTCGAGAGTTCAGTGGGTTCAGAGTGCCTGGCTCGTCAATATTGTTCCTTTTGAGCGCTTTTGAGATAGCAGACGGGCTTGTTCAAATGCATGCAAGAAACAATGGCCATGCAGCATGCAATCAATATTGAGAGAGTGCGGGGTTGTATAGGGTCGGATGGCAGTGGACATTCTCACCAGACTCGGCACACCAGTGTTGCTCCCTTCGGCTCTACCATTTTGTTTTGTTAGATTTGGCTCGAAGTGGACAGTCTTTCCCCTGTCGGAACCAATTTGTAC